CACGACTGAAATTCTTCAGTTCGTCTCTCGACTGCTTCGAGGCACCTCTCGGGCAGAAGGTTACGAGCTCGCTCCTCAAATACATCGAGACCGCTCTCTCAAGGCGCTTCTTGGAGAACGAGCTCGATGAAGAAGGTCTTCGTACACCTGACTATGGGCACTTCCGTGCCGGGTGAACGCCTTCGTATTCCGTCCATCTCTGGGACCCTTTTGTAGGAACTTCTGCGAAGGGACCTGGAAAAAATCTTCCCCTGCCCCGAGACCTTCTTATGGGTACTTCCATGGTTGGTCAAGGAGGCAGGTATTTCCTGGCTCTGCCCCCCAGTTGACTAGAGGCACGTCTCTGTCACCTGAGGCCAAGCGACAGCACAGATGTCTCTCCTCAGGGTACTTCCTGGCCGAGAAGTCGCTGTTGAGCTTCTGCTGCGCGACCCTTATACAACGAGCAAGAATGTTGGCAGCGTACCGGCATTGAGGTGGTCACTCAGTGACCAGTCTGACCACCCCCCTCAGAGTGCACGCACTAGTCGCGTTCGATGCATAAGGACTTGGGGTTAACTCTAGATAGGCTCCGCGTAGTTACCCTCGACAGCCGGCGTTGGCTAGCTTGGAAATTTTGTAACATCTATTTTTTTCAGACAGGAATGCGGAAGCCTTGCGACGATCGTTGGCGAGCCGCCGAAGTCACGGCTGTAGTCGAAACCGACATTGCGATCCTTTTGATTTTCAATTATAGTTTGTTTCTTTTTTTTATTTCTCTTCGCTATTAATTATTTTGTTATCTACGCTATTTGTTATTCACATTTCTTTTATCTTATTTTAGTTTATATTCATTACATTAATTTTGTTACTTTTAAATTTAATTTAGTTTTATATTTGTTTTTTTTTATTTCCTTTTTTTTGTATTTTCACATTGTTCTTTTATTATGACAATATATAATTCTTTCGAAGGTTTATTCAACATTCTATTTATTGACTACTCCTCTCCTCGAAAGCACAGCAACTCTTCATTCGATTCCATTTTCTAATACTAGATGGCGTGTCCGCCCAATAATTAACTAAAGATTAACTAATTGAAAGTGAAATCCAGGAACCCGGACTCCATCCGGCGAGCGAGTTCCCAGCACAAAAAAAGCTAATCATTACAAATGAATAGAATAAATGTTTCGAAGTGTAAAAAAAACCGAATAGGAATAAGAAATATATAATTTTTTAAAAAGAAATAAAAGAGAAATGTGACAGATTCACCGACAATTTTATCAAGTGTGTAAAGTTCATATGATTAATTTAGAATATGAGTACAATTGTCTCATTGTACAATTGTCACATTTCTACTTTAATTTTTTTTTTAAATTATATATTTCTTACTCCTAATCGGTTTTTTTACATTTCGAAATATTTATTCTATTCATTTTTAATGCAAACTTTAATAAACAAACGTCAAATCAAATGTTCAAGAGAAAATAATTCACGGTAAGAAAAAAATAATTCACCGTAACGCACCAATTCGGTTTTTTTGAGAAACCGAATTCAGCTTAAGTTACCACCAAGTCTTTTCGCTCACTCACAATTCTTTTTTTTACTGGGTAAAGAACAATATTTAAATTGCATAAAACATTATGTAATTATACGTGTTACAGTTTATAAAATATTCGAAAAATATCAAATATAAATTACACGTGTAATTTTTAAAAAAATATTTGAAAAATATCAAAGTATAAATTACACGTGTAATTACACGTGTAATTTTTGAAAAAATATTCAAAAAATATCAAAGTATAAATTACACGTGTAATTTTTAAAAAAATATCAAAGGATAAATTACACGTGTAATTACACGTGTAATTTTTTAAAAAATATTCGAAAAATATCAAAGTATAAATTACACATGTGATTACACGTGTAATTTTTGAAAAAATATTCGAAAAATATCAAAGTATAAATTACACGTGTAATTTTTTAAAAAGTGTTCGAAAAATATCAAATATAAATTACACGTGTAATTACGCGTGTAATTACACGTATAATTTTTTAAAAAATATTCGAAAAATATCAAATATAAATTACACGTGTAATTACACGTGTAATTTTTTAAAAAGTGTTCAAAAAATATCAAAGTATAAATTACACGTGTAATTTCACGTGTAATTTTTTTCTAGGGAAGTCACTCTCTTCCCCCACCACTCGCTGTCACCTAGCTGCTAGTGATATACCTTTCGTCTCGCACCTATTCCTCAGTCTTCTTCCGACTCGTCTAGAGGTGCTTCTCTGACAATTGGAAGCGACTCACTCTTGGCTACCTGGTGCTCAGTAGAGGTGCGTCTCTCTGAGCACCGGAGCCTTCCTTACTTCCTAGAAGGAGCTGTACTTGTTCCTGTAGGCGCTCCTGCGGGACAGTAACACCCTTCGCCTTCCTTGCTCCTGGTGAACCGGACTTTCTATGGGTGCTTCCGTAGAAGACTGGTGAACCAGGCTACTCACTCTCTTCCACCTGGACCGTCCTTATCGAGTAGAGTCGCTCCTCTCTTGACAAAGATGATGCACTAGGTCGATTCCCCATCTTGAGGCGCTTCTCGGGTGGAGGAGACACCTAGTGAATATTACTTTGCACTAGCTTCACGTCGGGCATGAATATTGGAACCGAATCCAATATCTAGTTTCTTCCCGATTACGAATAATAATCGACCTAGCGTGCACGACCCTAGTATCCGTCCGTACCGTCGTCTAGGGGGTAAATTCTAGAAAGTACCCCACGCGAAGATAATATGCGTCGTCCTGATCAACATCTTCGCGAACGTGGTAAGTGTGTTTAAATCCGTTTTATCCTGGATTGATGGCGAGCGCGATCGGAGCTCAGCGAATGCTCCTCTAGAATAGCTAGTTCTTTCATCGTTATGTTTTCTAGAGATTAGTATTTTATTTGCATTGTATAGATTCTTTCGTTCTTATATTATTTTATGTAATAATTCATTTTTGTATATTTTATTATTCTTTTATTTAAACAATATATTCTCTTTCGAAGATTTAAATAAAGACTCGCCAATAACTACGCCTCTCCTCTACATCATAGTAAGAAATAGTTCCGAAATTAATCGAAACATAGATTCGCGCCATCTACCGAGATTTAAAGTAACTAGTCAAAATAGGTACCCGGACTCCATCCGGCGAGCAAATCCTTTGGCAATAAAAGTCAGACAACGGTCCATACAAAATCGTAGATGTCTTAGACAAAAATAATGTAATTTTAATAAATGAAGAAGGTCAAAGGTTCCAAAAATACGTTGATAAATTAAAACTTTCGTATGAATAAAAATAATAATACTATTTTATATTTTATAGATGGCTCAACTGGTACTCCAAACACCACCCCTTCAAGGAGAAGTGATCGATGAGAACAAATTTCCTAAAGGAAATATTAGCAGAATCTAATTCCCAAAAAAGGAATTAGAGGAAATAGCTATTGATTAAAGCTCTATAAATGGACTAACAGTTGCGAAAGCTGTTATGAGAGAGGGCATGTAAAATCAAACTGTAATAGGCCTATCCGAAACAACCGACTAATTCCAAAGACATGTACACAAACTGACAATAGCGACGATTTCTGGGAAATTCCAGGACAACCAATTGACGAACCCAAGAATAGATACAATGACGATGAACATTGGGATTAGTAACAAAAAAAAGGAAATAATATATATATATATAAACGAATATTCTGCATCTTTCTATATTATAAAAAGATTTCGCCGCAGCCGCCGCTGTTTCAAAAATTTTGACCAAGGAGGGGGGAGTCCCCCCTCCTAAATTTTGAGGTTATGTTCGTTTCTAGACTCTGAACATAGCCGCAAGTCCCCTCCCCCGCCAGAAATGACATAAATTTTGAGGTTATGTTTGTTTCAAGACTCTGAATATAGCCGCATGTTTTCGTTAATTCGCTCAAAAATGAAAATAGTCCGCCATTTTGTTTTTTTCCATTGAAAATAGTTGATTGTAGTTCCGACGATAGCGACGAGCTTACTTCCCAAGAAAAAATCAAAAATTTAATTTTTCGATGACCTGAATTGGAGATATCGTGTCCGCTAATCACAAGTAGGGATATTTTCAGGTGGACATGACAGCAAGATAATCCATAATAAATAAGAATTTTTTTAATAGTTTAAAACCCCTTCTTTTAAGTATAAAAAGTTTGAAGTAAATAAAATAAACTTTGTAATAAAAAAAAATATTTAAGAAAAATAACTGTGGTAGTAACTAAGTAAAAGTGGTATTAACCCCTTAAACGCAAGTAAAATATCAGCATTTATTACCGCGTCGCAGTCTTACTTGCTTTTCAATGCATTCAATGAAGGTGTCCATCTTGGTGCCATTTTTTTGCAAATCGAAATTTACAACAATTTAAAAAAATCTTTCAAAAATGTTTGTTTGCAAATTAAAATTTTTTTATAGCCAAATGATAATTTATTTGTTTTACCTTTATATAGTATGTACCATTTTTAAGCAGGAATCGGACAGACCATCTGAACAAACATTAGTCCAAATGCATTATTTCGATTTTTAAAATAGAAAACACATATTTTAGTGTAATTTTTTTAGACGAAGTGTGCAGAATTATATTTTAAACAAAATGAGCCCTGAAAATTGAAATTGGATGAAAATTAAAAAATATTGACATTTCGAAACGATTGTCTGTTTGAAGTAAAATTATAAAATCGTTTCGAAATGTCAATTTTTTAAAATTTTCATCCAATTTTAATTTTGAATAACTCATTTTGTTTAAAATATAATTATGCACACTTCCTCTGGAAAAAATTACACTAAAATATGTATTTCCTTTTCAAAAATCAGAATACATAATGCATTTGGACCAACTTTTGTTCAGACTGTCTGTCCGATTCCTCCTTAAATAGCCTAGCACAAAATCAAAACTATGTCCATCTTGGGGCCCTCTCCCATACAGTGTCACATTGGCAGATATTGGAAATAAAACTAGCATGCGCATATAAGAAACGTGCACATTGAAGTCTTTATTAAACAAATAAATTTGGACCCGGCTGCGTCGCCGAATTTCCGCAACCGTATTATATATAAAATTTCCTGTTTCAAAGTAAATAATTTTTTTAAAATTACTTCTGCAGATTTATGGACTGACATTACATTTTCGCTACAACGTATTATTCAATTAGGAATAAATGGCTAAGTTAATTAATAAATACAAGAAATTTCAACTGATAATAATGATACAATGAAACATAAGAGTTTATTTAGTGTGCAATCTTCATAATATCCTTAAACCAACAGCTTCATACAGGTTCTAAATCTTGGATCTGAAATTAAAAAAGTAAATGTTAAATAATATAGTAATAAATTTATTTAACTATTTCAAAATTATATTTAATTTCAAATTTTATTGCTTAAGACACTGTGCGAATATTATATCTTTGAATGGATGTTAAAACAAGTTTTTTACTTATTCTAGGATTCACAACCGAAATAGCACTTAATATTCGTAAAATGTTGCTGCAATATTGCAGCAATCTTTAAATGGCCTGTTTGCTGCAATATATCTTAGAAACTTTAAGAAACACTGCATAATATTGCAGTAATATTTCTGCAGTGTGAAAATAATTTATTATACCTTTAAATCAAAGTTGAAAATAAATTTTAAATTATAATCCAATGAATAATATTTTGAAATACCTACATTTAAAGCATGAGAAAAATAAAAGATGTTTTATTGAGGAAATGCATTAAAATTTGTTTAATATATAAAGATATAAAAACAAGTAAATTTTTTAAACTCTTAACTACATATTCAACTAACTTACTTTTCTAGAACCTAAAATTGCGAAGACAATTTTGAAAACAAAATGAAGAGACCGGGGATAGAACCCGGGACACCGCGCGCATAAGATATATACGAACCAATCTAACCAACTAATCGAAACAACGAACTTCAAAAGGAAAAAATCATCCCCAAACTATACGCGCGTACTTGGCCGGATAATTTAAATTTGATTTCACATTTCATGTAACATATTTATTATATTTTGCTTGTTTATAATATAGTTATATTTTTAATTTCACTTTTATAAATATTTGTACTCGTTATATTTTTATATATTTGTTGAAATGATGAACGTTTATTTGAAATAATATATTAATGTTGTTATCTCCAATGGGTTTTTAATTATAAATTGTCATTATATTTGTTTTACAGGATTCGATTATATAAAATATTGTCACATCATCGTAACATTTTTGTTATAAAAAAAAATAATAATAATTATTAATAATTAATGTCAATAAATAAATAAAATAAACAATTGTTTATAAATAAAAAAATATATTTATAAATAGATAATTATTTATAAATAAACAAATGTATTTATAAATAAATAATTTATACTTAAAAAACAATTGTTACAAATATTGAAAATATAAATAAATAATTATGTAATTAATATTTAAAAATAATCAATATGTAAAATTGTAATATTTTTTAAAGTTGTAATGTTCTTGATATTTGGAATTATGAAAGACAATCTACAAACAAGGAAATCAACATACAGAGTCACCAACACATAGAAAAAAGCAATAAACACTTTTTGGTGTCTGTGAGGTACCGATTTTAAATCTAACCCAAAGAGGCGAGCTGGTACCGCCGCGAGAAATTCATTGGAAAATATAACTATATAACGCGAAACCTTTCACTACGAAGGCAGTCCCAAAAATTATACGTACGGAGTTCATGTGTTAAAATACATACATACATACATACATACATACATATATACATACATCAATAAAGAACTTTTACGAGCGGTCGTAAAAAAAACTCAATAGAATACCGAATCATTAAAACTCACGAAGAAAATTTGGAAACTCCACCACAACATAAAATAAGGTAACCTTACCAAATCTTATGAAATAGATTTCATAATTTTTTGATTGTCTTGTAATAATAATAATTGAGCACAATCAGGATTTTTAAATAAATAATTTGCATATTGTATTTTATTTAAATCATTCATTTAATAAACCTCTTCCCAACTTAGTTAATTTAGCTAAGTTAAATTGAGGAATTAGAATAGGGAACCATTATAAGTTCAGCTTAGGTAAAATTAAAAATTATTTAAATTTTTAACAAATATGATATAACAATATTAAAAAAATAAAATATTGTTTACTTTTGTAAAAAAATATATAAAATTTTACTAATAATTCATAATGAATTATTATTTATTCAAATTAAAAAGAAAGTATTAAAACACAATTCTGTTCACATTTTTATTAAGTTACTTTTGTCTTAGCCTAAACAAATGAAACGTTATAATTTTTCTTGTATTTATTTATTCATTTTTTTCATATATTTTCACAGGTTTTTTAAAGTATATAACTAAATTTAAATCGCTTTTTCCTTTTTCAAGATTTAAAAATTCTTTGGAAACCCTATAAAATTTAAACATTAATGTTTTAATGATAAATATTTATAGTGTGTTTGATATAATACTTTGGAAAAGTTTAACGAGTGTTTAATTAAACATGTGATACAATTTTTTAATTACAAACAAATTTTAAAAATTTAGAATTATTATAAAATTAAAATTCTAAAAGATTTAATTATCAAAATATCGAATTTCAGATATTCGATCATTTCCTAATTTGAACATTTAAAAATTAAATTAAATACAGAAAATGTTTCCCATTAAGGGGGGAAACTCGTTCATTGAATTAAGGGGTAACACCACTCTAGAATTTTCAAAAAAACGATTTATTTTTTTTTTTTGTTAAAATGTACTTTAGCATTGTAGAAACAATAGGCAGGTGATCCTATGACGAAAAAAAATTTATTAACCCTTTGAGTGTCACTAATGCATCATATAGGCACTGAACAACGCCTTTGAAAAAATCCATATTTTCAAAAAAAAAAAAAAAAATTTCAAAATCTGACTACAGATTTGTAATCAGTGACCCCAAAAACTATAGAATTCGTCATGAAAAGCTTTAAATTTGTTGTACTCCGGAAATTATGAATTTTAGAACATTGTAAAGGTTTGCTGGCCCATTGTGTGTTAGTTCTACTTTAAACGCGTTTTTCTAGAAACCACTTTTTTCAAACTGGGAGGACGGATTACTCGAACACCGTTGCATGGATTGATCTGAAATTTTAACAGTAACTACACAATAACCTTCTTTATGGAACTACGTAGCCGTTTTTTGATTTAATGTAAACTTTTTTTTTTATAAACAATTTACTGCTTGTTTTTTGGCAAAAAATCGATTTTTTTTTTCAAAGTGCTACCATTTGTACAAATTTTGATTTAAAAAAAAACCCCTACGTAGTTCCATAGTCAATAGGGTAGAGATTCAGAAAATTCTTGGATTTTTGTTCTAGGTCTTACACCTTCCTAGAAAATCGTCCTCCCGTGTAGGTGTTTTAAAAATTCAAGATTTTTGAGCCGGACTCTATCGCCGCCATTTTATATTAAAATAATAATATTAAATTTATTTTTTATACTTGAATATGTGTTAAATAAACCTATCTGAAGAAAAATCCTATTCCTTTTATCCTACTGCAAATATAAATCGTCAAAGTTAGGCTATTTTTCTTACCGCTAGAGTGGTGTTACCCCTTAAAATAAAGCATACCTTAAAGTACACAATATAAGCTTCATAAAAAATTTTTTTTATTAAAAAATGTTACAAAATGTCGGCGTTACAGGCACAAATCTCAAAAACAATTGTTAAAAAAATTTTTTTTAAAAAGGATATTGTCATGCAATAGCCAGTAAAATGAAGAATATTTGTGGTAAGTTTGATTACACAGAAAAAAACTAAACTCGATGTGCAACAAAAATGAGACTAGATTTTTTCTGTGTAAAATCGGTTAAAAATTGGCTGAGCACGGCGCGCGAAAAAACACGTTTCGAGAAAAACGCGTATAAAGTTTTCGATACATAAAATTAGTGTTTTAACTATTGCCTTGAAGACGTTATGTATTCGAAAATAACTATTGCACTAAAACAAAGACTTACTATCACGTACTTGCTAATGACAATTAATAAAATTATATTGACAAGGAACCGAAAGAATAGAGGGATCTCGTGCTCATAGTTAACTGCATTTGGTAGCATCTGAAGTGCTAAACTTATGTTTACTATAGACATTCATATATCTAATTATAGATTAGTAATATAGGTTCATATTCTACAGATAGACTAATAAACACAAGATAGACTAACAAGACAGATAAACTAATTTTTAAAGAAAAAAAATTGTAAAAAAATTTTCTTTTACACGAGTCCTCCCCCCCCCCCCGTTAAACGTTTTATTTATTTAGGTTAAGACAAAAATAACTTAATAAAAATGTGAACAGAATTTTGTTTTAATACTTTCTTCTTAATTTGAATAAATAATTATTTACTATAAATTATTAGTAAAATTTTGCATATTATTTGTAACGTGACAATTTTGACACGTCACACCCGAGTTAAAATTATGTCAACATTAAATTATAAAATCAAATTTAATAAAACACAATCCCTCCTTTTGAACACAGGCACACAAAAAATAAAAAGTTGTTTGGCCGAGACACACTAGTCTATTTCCATGTTTTTTTTTTTCAAAAAACTGCTCATAAAGAAAAATAAAATCAAAAATTGAAAATTTTTTTGAATAACTTAAAATCAGTTTTTTTGGAATTATCTTCAAAATTTGAGTCAATCTGGCAATTTTGACTTCGAATTCGGATTCAGAAAAAAAATACAAAGAAATCGTAGTGTTTTTCCTGTGCCCCTAATTCAGGATTTTTAACAGTTTTTGGCGATTAGCTCAAAGAAATATTTTTTTGACGAAACACTACTGTCGCTGCGCAATTGATAAGAAAGGAAAATTTGAAAGGTAGAAGGGTTTTCCCACTATTCGGAAGGTGTGGCTAAATGACAAATTCAAGTCAGAATGAATTTAGAATTAACGACGTATAGCGGTTATTCGAAATAACTTTATATTATATAATTATATTATTATTAGAAATAAACTGTGGAGTGACAATTTCTAAATAAATTAATAGACTTATAAATTGTCGTACTTTGTTGTTTTTTGATGATGCTGAAGTCCGCAACGTTTTCAAAAACGAAAAATTAAAATAGAATTATTTTTTCATGTCAATTTATCTCTAATTTTGATTTGCACAAACTTTCAAGAAATTAATACTTTTATAAAAACCAGTTACCACCGAATAATTTTAATTTTAACCCAAAGTAATAGATATTGTCTAATTATTTCTTCGTTTTCGTTTATAAAAACGTTGCGGACTTCAGAATCA